ACCAGCAGGTCTGGATTTCCCAAAAATAGACCACTACCACAAAGCTACAGCTATAATTCTCTCAGGATTCTCTCAGGGTAACTCTGTTATAGGAGCAATACACTCCTACTTCTTGATCACTGTAGCTCATAAGTCTTCAGCAACGTATTCCTCATTTATATAAACCCAATCACCATGATGACAACATAAACTCAAATATAAAACATCCACTTAAAAATAAGATGGAATCAATAATAGTTAAACATTTTAAAAACAAACGTTTAAAAATACTGTTTTCATATGCACAGGCAATGGGGTATAGAAATCTATCCTGCCCTACGGGAAAACTGAAGAGGAAGGGGATAAGAGAAGGTGGGGAGAGATAGAAGGGAGGGCAGATTAGGGGAAGGAGTATTCAGAATTCATGCCATCTTGGAGTGGGGGGAGGGACGAGATGGGGAGAAAATGTGGAACTCAAAATCTTGTGGTGGTGAACGTTGAAAACTAAAAATAAATAATTTTTTTTAAAATTTAAAAAAAAATAGTTAAACATTAGTTACTAAAGATAAAGCAAATGCAGTAATAATCAAAATATCACAGCTCAAACATAAATCTAGGTCACAGACTTCTACAAATACACCGACAATGTCCTTGGGGAACAGTGGACACACACTTACAAAAACCAAGCAGGGAGGGACATGAGTTAGGAAAATTCATTTGCTTGGGGCAACTCATAACTCTGGAGTGTATGATCTTTATGTACTTGGTCCCTTGGTGACAATCTAATTCACACAAAATAGGTTCTCTATTAGCTGTTTCCCTCCTGGTCCTAACTCTCTAATTCGAGGCAAATCTGCTCCTCTTCTACTTTCAAACTGATGAAACAGCGACACATTATTTTAACTCACAACTACCCTAAAAGGGTGCTGAGAAAGCGTTAATGATATTCCAGTGACAAGCAATTCCCAGAAGCCAAAGATCTGCAAAGCCCTTCAGGCTGGCTCTCTGGGAAAGGCAGAGAAGCCCAGCCAATTCTTCACTCAACAGGATTCTGCATCAAATCAATCAACTTTCAGCCTGTACTCACAGATAGCAAAGCAACTGCAAGGCCTTTCTTTTCCTCCTCTGCTTTTCCCTCTCAATAGGGAGTGGAGACAGGAAGTAGTAAGGAGAGAACAGCCAGGAAGGGCCTTTGAGAGGCTGTCCCTCTCTCAAACTAGAGAGAACTTTGAAGGGCAACAGCTGAAACCACATCAGAGTTCCACTTCTGTCCAAACTGAAAGCTCCCAACCTTTTTTTCAGCTAGTCCACAAAGTAACGCTTCTCTTTCAATCACTAGGTTTCCCAGGTACCGCAGCCGAAATCTCCCTGTCCTCTGACTGCTCCTTCTAGCATTTTGTCACTAGGTTCTTCACTGCTCCTAATGGCTAACATAAGAATTTCCTAGTGGTCATCTTGCCCTTATGAGGTAAAACTCACAACACCCAGCTTTTAATCACTCGTGAAGCCAACAGTCCTTTTTTAATCTTCTCATAGTCTGGGAACAACTATTTGATGTGCCATCGTATGAGTTTCAACTTCTCAAGCTCTCATGCAAATGAGCTGAGGGAGCACAATGCTCAGCTCACCACAATCAATGCTTCAGGCATTCTTGGCTCCCAAACAGGTCCTCAAAGTTCTCTATTCAGTCCTCTTGTGTCTGTCCTTACATTTTAATAGAAAAACTATTTCTTCACATATGTATGGATTTTAAGTTTTTCATGCACGAAAGTTCTTTTTCTGTCCCTGTAGGCCACTAAAGTTGTTTTTAATATTTTTCTTTACACAATAGTTCACTTTCCGTCTTTTTCAACAGCAAACTGTTCACATATGAAAGTGTTAATACTTTACAATTGCAGTTAGATTTGTTGAACTGCTTTTTTTTTATTCTATCTTATTAAGGGTAGGTCTCTGAGCAGGGGAACAAGGACTGTATATACTGGGAAATGAAATAAAGATATCAACAACAATTTTTAAAAACATTTGGGTAGGCATTCACCTGATGATGATGATACAATACCATGCATCGAAGGAATTAAACTTTCTACCATAAAGTTCAGAGAAAAACATCAGACTAGAAAAGAGGCAAGTTCCTCATTCATCTCCAGGGCCCATTTTACTCTAGGAGGGAAGAGGAGCCACTACCTTAAAAAAAAAAACAACAAAAACAAATAGCGTAGTTCATATTCATACTTTCCCATTAACTGAAAGCCAAGTCTTTCAGGAATGAGACCTGAGATGAGATACCAAGGTTGATCACCTATGAGATATACCCAGCAGAGAAAGTCCTGCATCTTGTCAATTCATCCCTATAGGCGGAGCACCTCCCCTCCCCCCTCTCCCATTTCTACTTTCCCAGCCTCTTAGAGGGCTTGACACTAAGCCATGAATCTAGAACACAGTACAGAATCACCAAGTGTTGTCAAACAACTCAGCCCTTTGGTTCTACTCAACAAAGGAACTAATACTGGGGACTGCCAGGTAGAAGAAACCAAATTGATACTCATAAGATTGGAGGTCTAGAGTTGAAAGGGATCTCAGCTGTCATTCAGTCCAACCCTCTCATTTTATAGATGAGGAAACTGAGGCCTAGGAAGGTTAAATAACTTGCTCAAGGTCACAAAGCAGCAAATGTCAGAGGTAAGATTTGAACCTAGCTCCTCTTTTAATTTCTTGTATCATCCAAGCAGCACCCTAGTCAGGAAATGGAAACAGAAATAGAAAACACACTAAAAATAAACCAGAGATTGCAAGGTTCAAAGAAAGAAAGAAAATATAACAGAACCGTAGGTTTGATCAGAGAACAAATAATACTAATAGCATAGCTTGGAGTAAACATAGTGCCAGTGATGTTCCAGATGCCAGTTCAAGGTCACATGGCATTAGAACTGAACTCCAGAGCCACCACTCTTCCCTCTCTCTCTACTATACCATGCTGAATTCCTAATGATGAAGTAGAGAAAACCTCTTGGAGAGAAGAGCGAAAAGAATAGACAAAATAAGATGAACTACATCTTCAGAATTACCAAACATCACACCAGAAGACCTAACTCCCTCCAGTTGTTTTCATCACCATTTCCAATTCCTTACCTCCAATCCTAATCCTAATCCCTGTTCTTTAACATTCCCAGCTAGCTGTCCACCCTTCTCCGAAAAATAGCATTGTTTCAATCTGTACTGTCTTCTAGCTCTGGTTTCAGGGTCCTCTAACCCCTGCTGACTCTTTTCTCATTGCTCTCCAGGTTAGAGTCAATGTCCAATCTCTTAGGGACCCTAGGCCAGGAGTGGGGAACCTTCAGCCTTAAGGCCACTCATGGCCCTCTAGGTGCTCAAGTTTGGTCCTCTGACTGAATCCAAACTTCACAGAACAAATACCCTTAATAAAAGGATTTGTTCTGTAAAACCTGGACTCAGTCAAAAGGCAGCCCCCGAGGACCTAGAAGGCCATGTGTGGTCTGGAGACCAAAGGTTTTCTACCCCTGCCCTAGGCCCTTCCTTCAAAGTATTACCCATAATCTGCAGCATATGGCCACATTTCTGATATCTCTAGCCCTAAGAGGCAGTATGGTGAAAGAGAAAGAACACTGGGTTTAGATCTGGAGGACAAGATTCCACTCCCAGCTTTGCTGATTGCTAACAGTGTGACTTGACAGTGAAAAACATTAGAACTCTCATCAATGCAGTGACCAAAAATGACTTCAAAAGACTGACAATGAGGCAGGCCTCCCTGCTCTAGGCCGTCTATAGGCATCCCAAGTGTTCAATAGGTGTGGAATGAGGTACATATTGTCAGACATGGGTAAGGTGTCCATTTGTTTTACATGATGCTTTGCTTTGTTACAGGAGAAAGTTCTATTGAGGGAGGTGGGGAGGGGAGTTAATGAGAAGCAAGAGCCATAAAAAGAACATAAAAGATTTTTTAAAGAGAAAAAGCAAAATGGAAAGTCCATGCACTGCTGAGGAAAACCTACTTTCACAACTTCCTCTTCTATAGGGCAGGTCTTATACTTCAGGTCAAAAAGGAAAACTGAGGAACACAGGAAACTGATGTGACAAAGGACCTTCCTCTGTTGTCAAAGATGATACATAGGATCAGTTTACTAACAGGAGTGAATATACTCCTGGCTGCCAATTCCAGATCTCAGAAGAAATGGGTTCTGATTTCATAAACCTTATCAGTATAAATGCTAAGCAAAAATTTTGGGAGCGGCGCAGCTAGGTGGTACAGTAGATAGAGCACCAGTCCTGGAGTCAGGAGGACCTGAGTTCAATATCTGGTCTCAGACCAGACACTTGACACTTATTAGCCCCATGACCCTGGGCAAGTCACTTAACTACAATTGTCTTGCCAAAAAAAAAAATCTGGGGAGCAATACTTTGCCCTTTGTTAACTGTAAAGTAAAGAGATTACTAGTTAAAAGAGCTCCTATGCTTTCAAAGACCCCTTGCCTTGCTTGGGCAGCATTTGTACTAGCGTTTCTCCTTGCTCCTGTCAAAGATGGCACAAAGAATACAAGAAGCCTCCCTGGAGATATTCCCACATCATCTCAGTTCTACAAAGTGGAGCTGAGAGGATGACGTGCTGAAGAGAATCTAAGCTGGAGAGTGTCACTGCCCCTCAGACTCTTCTAAGCATCCTAGCCAAAAGTAAAGGTGGATGACATACAGTACAAGTTTAGAACCAATTCCTCAAGAGCCAGCAAAAAAATCTTGGTCTCAGATTTCACTCATACTAGAGTTAACACTAGGCAAAATGTAAATAACCTGGGGGGAGGAGATGGGGACAGGAAAGGAGAGGAGGTATTGTTGGATTACTAATACTTTCCTTTTAACTGTCCGGAAAAGCTCATTTCCTTCTAGAAAATAAAAGCACAGATTTCTCTCCAAAGCTACATTCCTGGTTTTGGACTCTGATGCCCTTGAATTTAGCTTGAGGAAGAACTAGTACGTGAGGGCAAATAGTAGGCTGCTTTGGTTCTTACCAAAAGGAATGCATGTCCCCAGATGAAGCTCCCATGAGTTATCACACACTAGCTCCTCTTTTAATTTCTTGTATCATCCAAGCAGCACCCTAGTCAGGAAATGGAAACAGAAATAGAAAACACACTAAAAATAAACCAGAGATTGCAAGGTTCAAAGAAAGAAAGAAAATATAACAGAACTGTAGGTTTGATCAGAGAGAACAAATAATACTAATAACATAGCTTAGAGTAAATATAGTGCCAGTGATGTTCCAGATGCCAGTTCAAGGTCACATGGCATTAGAACCCAAGAGTCCTAATCCTTTCTCAGTTGCTACTTACCACTGAGAGGACTACTATATTGACAAAGATCAACAGGACACCCCCTACTTTACCATCCCTAGCCCAGATTAAAAAGTAAAAGACAGAACGGCTTGGGGATAGAGATATATGTTTTCAAAACATTTTTGTTTTTATTTTTTTCTCAATGACATGTAAACTTTTTATTACCATTTTAAAAAAATTTTGAGTTCCAAATTCTGTCCCTGATTCTCTTTCTGCCTTCCTCCTTGAGAAGGCAAGCAATTTGATATAGATCATACATGTGCAGTCATGCAAAACATTTCCATATTAGTCATATTGCAAAAGAAAATACAGACCAAAAAAAAAAACCCAAGAAAAAGAAAACTTTTTTTTCTTTTTTTCTGAGGTCACACAGCTAGTAAGCGTCAAGTGTCTGAGGCCAGATATGAATTCAGGTCCTCCTGACTCCAGGGCCGGTGCTCTATCCACTGCACCACCTACCTGCCCAAAGAAAAAGAAAGTTTAAAAAGTATGCTTCAATCTTCATTCAGACTCCATCAGTTCTTTCACTGGAGGCGGATAGCATTGTTAATCATCAGTCCTTTGGAATTGTCTTGGATCATTGTATTGCTGAGAACAGCTAAATCATTGACAGTTGATCATTGTACGATATTGTTACTGTGCACAAGTTCTCCTGGTTCTGCTCGCTTCATTCTGCAACAGTGCATATAAATCTTCCCAGGTTTTCTGAAAGCATCTTACTCATCATTTCTTATAGCACAATAGTATTCCATCACAATCACATACCACAACTTGTTCAGCCATTCCCCAACTGATTGACATCTCCTCAATTTCTAATTCTTTGTCACCACAAACATTGCTGCTATAAATATTTTTGTATATATATGTCCTTTTCCTTTTTGTCTGATCTCTTTGGGATAGAGATCTAGTAGAGGTATTGCTAGGTCAAAGGTATATAATTTTATAGCCCTTTACGCATAGTTCCAAATTGCTCTCCAGAATGGTTAGATCAGTTCACAATGCCACCAACAGTGCATTAGCGTCCCTATTTTTCTACATTCCCTCCAACATTTGTCATTTTTCTTTTCTGACACATTAGCCAATTTGATAGGTGAAGTAATACCTCAGAGTTGTTTTAATTTGCATTTCTCTCATCAATAATGATTTAGAGCATTTTTATATGACTATAGATACCTTTGATTTCTTCTTCTGAAAACTGTTCATATCCTTTGACCTTTTATCAACTGAGGAATTACTCATTTTCTTATAAATTTGACTTGATTCTCTATATATTTGAGAAATGAGGCTTTTATCAGAGAAACTTCCTCTAAAATTTTTTTCCCAGTTTCCTGCTCTCCTTCTAATCCGGGCCACATTGGTTTTGTTTGTGAAAAACCTTTTTAATTTAATGTAATTAAAATTATCCATTTTATATCCCATAATGCTCTCTACCTCTTGTTATAAATTCTTCCCCATCCATAGATCTGACAGGTAAAATTTTCCATACTTCCATAATTTGCTTATGATATCACCTGTCATGTACCTGTTTAACCTTATCTTGGTATACAGTGTGAGATGTGGGTCTATGCCTGGTTTCTGCCAAAATTGCTCTCCAGTTTTCCTAGCAATTTTTGTCAAATAAAGAGTTCTTGTCCCTAAAGCTTGGATATCTGGTTTTGTCAAACACTAAATTACTATAGTTATTTACTACTGTGTATTTAACTAATCTATTCCATTATTCTACCACTCTATTTCTTAGGCAGTACCAGATTATTTTGATGATTACAACTTTGTAATACAGTTTGAGATCTGGTACTGCAAGACCACATTCCTTCACATTTTTTTTCATCTATTCCCTTGATATTCTTGACCTTTTGTTCTTCCAGATGAATTTTGTTATTATTTTTTCTAGCTCTGTAAAATAATTTTCTAGTAATTTGATTGGTGTGGCACTTAATGGCAGCTAGGTGGAACAGTGGATAGAGTGCCAGATCTGGAGTCAGGAAGACTTATCTTCTTGAATTTAAATCTGGCCTCAGACACTTACTAGCTGTGGGACCCTGGGCAAGTCTCTTAACCCTGTTTGCCTCAGTTCCCTCATCTGTAAAATAAGCTGAAGAAAATGGCAAACTACTCCAGTGTCTTTGCCCAGAAAACCCCAAATGGGGTCACAAAGAATAGGACACGACTGAAAAAAGAATGGAACAACAAATAGCACTGAATATGATAATTAATTTAGCTAGAATTATCATTTCTATTATACTGGCTCAGCCTACCCACGAGCAATTAAAATATCTCCAAATGTTTAGATCTGGCTTTATTTGTGTGAAAAGTATTTAGTAATTGTGTTCATATAGTTCCTGGGTTTGTCTTGACAGGTAAGACTCCCAAGTATTTTATATTGTTTGCAGTTATTTTAAATAGAATTTCTCTTTCTATCTCTTCCTGCTGGACTTGGTTGGTAATATACAAAAATGCTGATTTCAAAACACTTTTGAGATAGTCTTTTACTATTTAACTTTTAGGTGACCTTGAGCTCTTAGATAAGATAGTGAAGGCCAAGCTCATTCTTACATTCAATATGAGAGAGTAGGTTGGTAGAGCCCAGCCTGACACCAGGCTGGCTGAAGGGTAATGAGTTTTCTGGCCATAACTACTCAAGAACAATAGTGATAAAGGTATTAAGGGACTGCTGTCAGCCCTAAATATGCCCTTAATAAATGCTTGCTCATTAACTGATAAAGTGATTTTTTCACACCTCTGTGAGATATGCGGTGCAAGCGCTATACCCACATTACAAAAGAAGAAACAGACTGAATGTAAGTGATTTGCTTCTAGTCTCACACTATAGGCCTTCAAGTCCAGGTAACCTGCCTTTAAGGCTAGAGTTCTTTCCTCTACTGTTTTTTTACGATTAAAGCTTCTTCCTCCTTTTAAGGTCTGGAATTAAAATCTCTTGAGGAAACAAGAATCTTCCACACCCACCCAACCCTTTGCTTCTGTACAGGGACCAGCAAGAGGCCATGATAGCTCACACAGCTTTCTTTGAAGGAAATACTAGTCTGTCCAGTCAAACAGGTACTTTGCAAAGTAGAGAAGTTAATAAAAGACTATAAAATATTTCTTTGAAAGCTAATAAGCCAGGTCCTGAAAATCTCCTGCTCACAGGTATAAGAGATAAATTCCACAAAAGCTCAAATTAGAAAAGGAGTCAGAACAAATTAGAATTTAATAGGCATTGGGTAGAATGCAATAGAAGAAAAGTAAACTCTACAAATATTAGAATGACCATGGAAGTCTAATGTAATAACAGAAGACTCAAAGGATCATAGTAAGCCAAAACAATGTGAGGGAGCAATGCGAATCTGTTAAACACACACACACACACACACACACACACACACACACACAGAGAAATGGTAAAAGTGGGCAGAACACTTTAAGGGGGCAGCCAGATGGCCCAGTGGATAGAGTGCCAGGCTTGGATTCAGGAAGACTCATCTTCCTGAGTTCAAATCTGGCCTCAGACACTAGCTTAGTGACCGGGCAAGGCACTTAACTCTGTTTGCCTCAGTTCCTTATCTATAAAATAAGCTGCAGAAGGAGATGGCAAACACTCCAGTATCTTTGCCAAGAAAACCCCATATGGGGTCAGGAAGAGTCAGACAGGACTGAAAAGGGACTGAACATTAACAGGAACAACTGCTGACAATGGCGATGACAAGAATGCTAACTCATACTGTACCTTTATATTGTTTCCTGGCCTGTGTAATTTGCAAGACATACAGAATTACAAATACTTCAAAAGAAACCAGGTGAAATAGTGCTAGAAAACAGATCCAGATTAAAAAACTAAAGAATAAGGCTATGTCAACACAGGATCATGAATCCCAAATTATTTAATGATGACTAACTATTCCAGAGTCAGAGAACCTGGGTGGAAATCTCACCTCTGACACTGCCAGTGCCATTAGGCAGTCACTGAAGTCACGGAACCTCTCTAGGCTTTAGTTTTTTCATTTGTATAAAGGTTGAACTAGATGGCCTCTAAGGTCCCTTCCAGGATTAGATATATGATCCCAAGATATCTTCGACTATCCCAGAGAATAACTGATCCTTTTAAGGGAAGCTGCCCTCTTCAAAAAAGGACTATTAAAAGTTTAAAAACAAAGACAACTGAACAGCAAAGAACAGTAATTATCCAGTCAATTTTAATTTCAAAGATCAAAGAAAAGAAACCCTAGGAGCTCAGGGCCCATGAAAACAAATAGCAGGGTAAGAAAACCTAGCTAGCCTAGGTCTCAGTTTCTTTCATCACTCCCTCTACCCAAGGCTCACTCTCCTCCAGTTTCTCTTCTTATCTTTTTGTCTCTTTCCTAATTTCCTTTTCTTTCAGGAGCTGCTACCTCAGGAGTGGCAGAAGGAGACCAGTCCACTCACTGAGGTAAGAGCTGGGCCTGACTGACAGGAAAGGAAAGAAAGGGAAAATGCTAATTGTTTGTAAGGCCCTTCTGGGATAAGACCCACCTAGAATCGTGAGCTTCAAACCAACTCCCCTAGTGTGAACTTTCCCTTCTTCCTACCGACTGGGAGTTGGGCTTCACTGGACTAAACATCATCACCTACCAAGAGGATAGGTTTTGAGAGAGGACCCTGGACAGTCTAATTATCAGCCTCTCTCAATGATAACTTATCTCCAGTCACTGATAATCTGCCCGAACTCATCTTCAATAGTAATGCTACCCTGTTATACTATGCTCACCCTAGCAATTCTGAACCCCACTCTCATCACTGTACTAACCTGTTCCCCATCTCCACTACCCAATCCCTTACTCTTATCCACCCCCCCAACTCTATCCCCTCAATTCCTTAGTCCAGATCTACCTGCCCTCCTTTACTATCAAACTTATTTTCATTTTTTTTTTTTTAGGCAATTGGGGTTAAGTGACTTGCCCAGGGTCACACAGCTAGTAAGTGTCAAGTGTTCAGTCTGAGGTTGGATTTGAACTCAGGTACTCTGACTTCAGGGCCGGTGCTCTATCCACTGTGCCACCTAGCTGCCCCTTACTTTCATCTTAAACCTTTTCTTTTCTCTACCCTTACACCTTCTAGCACTCACAGGAACCAGGCTCCTTCCTGATGACTCAGCATCCCTGGTCACCCTTTCAGGCACTGGCTAAAGTTTCACTCATATTATCCACCCCCTCCCCCAACCCAATAATCATGGGGGGAGGGGTTGGAATACTCCTTGCTCCTCACTGCTATGTTCAGACTCTCCTTCTACCACCATCAGTAAATGATTTCTCCTGTTCTGAGGTTTATTCAATCCAAATTTATCACACAATCAATTCTGTTAGCTATTATCTACCAACCCCAAGGACACTCTCCTTCCTTCTTCAATGAGTTCAGTGTCCAGCTGACAGTCTTTCTATGCCAAGCCCTTATCTCACACTGGAGAACTTGAACATGCCTAATGATGCTACTTCCAACACCCCAACTTCCCAGTGTTTTACTTTTCTATACTCTATTCCACCTGGGGATGTTTAGCCTAAAAAAGAAAAGCTGGCAGGGAATGGGCCAAGATAGTGGTTCAAGGATCTGAAGAATTGTCATGCGAAAGACAAGAGTAGTTTGCCTTGATCCCAGAGGGCAGAATTAGAGAAGATGCAGAGGGCTTGATGTAAAGAAAAAATTCCTAAAAATGTCAAAAAATAAAACTCGCAGAGAAGGGAGGTCCTGAGCTCCCTTTACCTAGGTCTTTTGTTTCCAAATGTTTTATTGATGCTCTCTTTTTAAACATTGTTGTCACTTTCCAATGATTTCTCCTATCCCAACAGAACCTTCCCTAGTAACAAATATACAGTCAAGCAAAACAAATCAACACATTGGCTGTCTATGCAAATTTATCCCTCATTCCACACCTATCTTCAGAGGAGAGGCAGATCTTCAATTTATCCTCAATCCTAAAGTCACATCTGGTCACTGAACTGATCAGAGTTCTTCACTAAGTCTTCAAGCAGCTGCCGGATGACCACTTACTGGGAATTGTTAGGTGACTCTAGCTCAGGTATTAGTTGGATTAGATAAAATCTGAAGTCTTCTTCTCAACTGATTCCATGAAACAAGTTTAAATTATGGCAGAAGGATGGCCTTTCCTGGCCATCTATGAATGGTGTCTCCCTCATAAGAATGTAAGCTCTTAGAGGACAGGAGATGTCTTTGCTTTTTGGTTTGTATCCCTGGCTCTCAGCAAAGCACTGGGCCCACAGGAAGCACTTAATAAAAGCTTTTTTTCATTCATTCACTTAAGCTGTCTATCTGGAAGAACTTATTTATACCTGGTTTACTAAAATGCTTCCTAACTTGTCTCCCTGACTCAAAACTGTCTCTACCTACAATCAATTTTGCTGTAATCTTTTTATGACTCTGTTTTCCTTTTTCTTTTCTTTTTTTTTTTTTAGGCAATTGGGGTTAAGTGACTTGCCCAAGATCACACAGCTAGTAAGTGTCAAGTGTTTGGTCTGAGACCAGATTTGAACTGAGGTCCTCCTGACTTCCAGACCGGTGCTCTATTCACCTTGCCACCTAGCTGCTCCTTATGACTCTGTTTTCATCATATCACGTCCCTCCTCCAGGTTTAAAAAAAAAAAGCCCCCACCTTCCATAGCTACCCACTGGATACCCAATAAACTCTTCAGCCTTCTACAATCACAATCTGACCACCACCACCACCATCAATAACCAAAGGAATCCACGTTTCTACAGGGCTTTAGAATTTATGAAGTTTTTTTTAAAATTCTTACAACAACAATATGAGACAGGCAGTGCAAGAATTATCCCCATTTCACAGATGAGGAAACCGGTGAAGTGATGTGCCCAAGTAATAATCAATGACAAAACTGGGACTTGAATTCAGGCATTCAGACACTAGGTCTAATTACCTTTCCACTACGCTCTACTAGTAAGTTTCAAAGATCTTAAGAATGTTTCAACGACAAAAAGGCTATCTCGTGAGACAGTGAGCTCCTTGTCATTTAAAGCACTGAAACAGAGGATAAATGATTGTCTATCCAAGGTACCAAAGAAGGAATAAGAAGTCACTCTAGATATATGAGGCCCCTCCTATGTCAAAATTCTACCATTATATTTCTCTAACTTCATCTTCCATGACTAATGAAGACAAACCAATCTTACTCATACTTCCACATCAGAGATACCCATTTCCGCTGCTTACAAAACCCTTGTGGTCATATCACAGTCATTTGACCACAGTTTTCCAAAAGAGAAGCAGTTCAGATCGTAGTAGTAGTAGTGTGAAGAGATTAGTAATATGAATTTAAAATAAATTTGAAATTTTAATTTTAAGTCACTATTTTGTATACATACTATGTACATTCATTCTCTTATCTTCTCCCTGACTGCTTCTTCTTCATTTCTTCATTTTTCTAAGTTATATCCTTCCTTCAAGGCCCTACCCTTCCTTCAAGTATCACCTTACCCACAATCACTTGACACCCTGGCAATCACTCTCTCCTCTGAGTACCTGCAATTTTTGTCTGTACTGTTTACTTCACACTTAGCATATGTTATTCCATTCAGTGGAGTCAGAGCAAAAAAAGGACCTTGGAGATAAAACAGTCTTAATTCCCTCATTCTACAGGTGAGAAATATGGAGTAGAAGTGACTTGTTCAAGGTCATGCAGACAATAAGTCACAAGCTATGATTGAAACCCAGACCTTGTGACTAAATTCAAGGCTCTACTATGCTGGCTGCCACTACTGGTTTTTATCTTTTAACTTGCATGTCCTATCTGTCCTATCTCCCAGCTAGATTTCACAATTCTCAGGGCAAGGCTGACAAAGTCTTAATTTTTCTTTTTTTTACAAACCCAGTGTCATGCTTAATAGTTATTTGTTATTTTGATGATGGGGAGGAAGATGATCACTTCCCTGAGACAAAATGTGAAGGCTGATTAAGAGATGTTGCAAACTACTTCCCTTTTCAGAAAAATCTAGGATTAGAGACAGGACACAAGGCAGAAGGATGAGCTAGATGGACCACTCCTAGAATATGAAAAATTACTTCGACTGTCTAGCTGATGATGATTCTAATGAAAAAAAAAAATTAAAAACAACAACCATTGAGCAGCCCCACGAGAAAGATCAAAATCTTGAGAAACTTCATTTTTTATATATATATATACATTAGTCCTACTTCAATCCTTCTCAGTGAGTCTCAGTTACCCAAAGACCCCTTCCCATCCTCACTATCACAACCCAGCCCAACAACTCCAAATTTCCTTTCATGAAGACTTAGTGCTGGTATGAGAACAAGATGGATCCCTGGCTGTTGTCTTTCTGCAAGCTCTGTAAACAATTCCCCCCCAGCCCTGACCAACAGACATACTAGGCTCACTACCCTATTTAGGAAAACCAAAATAATCTGAAAGACAGAGAAGAGAAAGTGAAGCCTATGAAGACAGGCAGCATTTCAGGAAAGGTACTGATGAATTTCTGACAGTGAAACAATCTAAACCGAAGCCTGATGTTTCCCTCTGCCCCCTGCTAGAACCAGTCACTGCAACCAGATCTTCTGTACACCTTCTCCTTCAAATGTGCAGATAGAGAGCAGGACAATGAACATTACCTACCCAAAGCTCATTTGCTAGGATGCCATAAAACATCAGGTATCCTGAGAATAAACACTGTAAGGTGAAAGGACTGTTTGCTTTACAGTGAAGTGACCCAAAAAAGATGGAGGAAACAATTCTGCTGACCACAGGCTGGAAGTTGTGGTGACTCCAGACATTTAGATCCTCATGGCAGCAGGAATATTGAAAGAAGAAAGCATGGAAGCCTCAGTTCTCCCAACAAAAATGCAATGACATTGACATTCATTTATTTAGCCAAGAAATATTTACCAAGCATCTACTTTGTGTAAGGAATTGTGCAGAAACAATGTCAGACAGTAGCAACCCAGGAGTTTTGTCATTTGGGGCTCTGCCCTGCATAAGTATCACCCAAATCTCCTTCCATGGTTCTAAATCTGAAGTAATGGGAAATTCCAAATTTACAAAAATTAGGTTACCTCTTTGGAGAATACATCCTCATATGTCAGTGAGCAGCAACTGTCTTGGAAGTGCTACATGCATGGCAAACACACCACAGAAAACTGAAGGGAGAAAAACAAACCCCAAAACCTTCAGCTAAAAGGAGCTGGAATCAAGCAAGGAACTTTCAAAAGGGTTTCAACCTAAGAGCGAAGCACACAGGACGTGCCAACACAGGCTAGCTCCTCCTGTGTCCCTTTCTCTGCCCTGATATGTCATCACTCTCTTGGTCTGAGTCAGCAAATGTCTCTCATTCTTAAAAGCAACCTGCTTACTTCCAGGTAAGTAGACACATGCTTCACAAGAGTGCGCCTGGGCTGAGGCGAGGGCAAGACAGAGGGCCAAGGAGTAGGAAAGACCAACAAGGTAAAGAATCAAGACCAGGCATCTATTATCTAAAAAAATAAAATTAAGGGATGAGAAAGAAGAATGCACTGGAGAAGGGGAAAGGGAGAGGTAGAATGGGGAAAATCATCTGACATAAAAGAGGCCAGAAAGAGATTTTGCAGTGGAGAAGATGGGGGAAGTGGATGGGGGTGGGGGGAGGAGAGGGGGAGGGAGAGAGGGAGGGAGAGAGGGAGAGACAGAGGGAGGGAGGGAGAGAGAGAGAGAGCGCGAGCGAGCATGAACCATACTCTCATTGGAATTGGTTCAAAGAGGAAACAACATACACACTCAGTTGGGTGTAGAAATCTATCTTACCATAAAGTAGGAGGGGAAGGGTAGGATAAGGGAGGGTGTGGGCACATACCAATAGAAGAGAGGGAGGAGTTAAAAGTCAGAAGCAAAACACTTGAGAATGGAGAGGGTAAAAGGAGAGAGAGAATAGGATAAACAGGAGGAAAATAGTATAGAGAGAAATACATAGTGATCATTATAGTGAAAAAAAATTTTACAGCAAATTTCTCTGATAAAGACCTCATTTCTCAAATACATAGAAAACTGAGTCAAATTTATAGAAATAAGAGCCATTCCTCAATTGATAAATGGTCAAAGGGTATGAACAGGCAGTTTTCAGACAAAGTAATCAAAGCTATCTAACATCCTATGAAAAAATGCTCTAAATCACTATTCATTAGAGAAATGCAAATTAAAACAATTCTGAAGTACCACTACACACCTATAAGATTAGCTAATATGACAAAAGGAAAATGACAAATGTCAGAGGAGATGTGGGAAAAGTAAAACAATAATGCACTGTTGGTAAAGTTGTAAACTGATTCAACCATTCTGGAGAGCAATTTGGAACTATGCCCAAAGGGCCATAAAAATATGCATACCCTTTGACCAAGTAATTCCACTACAAGGTCTATATCCCAAGGAAATAAAAAACAGAAAGGAAAAGGACCTATATGTACAAAAATATTTGTAGCAGCTTTTTTAGTGGTGGCAAAGAATTGGAAATTGAGGGGGTGTTCATCAACTGGAAAACTGGATGAACAAGTTGTTGTATATGATTGTGATGGAATACTATTGTGCTCTAAGAAATGACGAGCAGGATACTCTCAGAAAAAACACGGGAAGATTTACATTAACTGATGCAAAGTGAAATGAGCAGAACCAGGAGAACATTGTAAACAGTAACAGTAATATTACATGGTGATCTACTGTGAATAACTTAGCTCTTCTCACCAATACAAAGATCCAAGACAATTCTGAACGACTATAATGAAAGGTACTATCCATCTGCAGAGAAAGAACTGGTGGAGCCTGAATGCACACTGAAGATTCTTTTTCTTTACTTTCTTTATTTTTCTTGCTTTTTTTTTTTGGTCTATGTTTTCTTTCACAGTATATCTTACATGGAAATGTTTTTTACATGACTACACATGTATAACTTATGTCAAATTGCTCGCCTTCTCAATGAGGAGAGGAGAGAGGAGAGAATTTGGAACTCAAAATTTGAAAAAAGAATGTTAAAATTGTTTCTGCATGTAATTGGTGGGGGGGGAATAAAATATTAAATAAAAAAAAAGACTAGACATCCAACACACAGCAATCCTACAAAACGCTAACACTCAGAGTCAGATCCGATTCTATAACCCCAAAGCTGCTTGAAGACAAATCCTAAGTCATATCCCAAGCACATCTGCCAATGAAGCAAAATTCACATGTCTGAAACTTGGTGAGAGAAGTAATTCACTTCATGTTATTCTCAGATTGCATGTTCATCACAGGCTCTGACATAATGCAGCCCAGCCTGAGTTAAACTCCTAGAAATCATTAGGGGCAACCCTCAGGCTCATTTTTTTTCTTTGTAGCTCTAGTGTCTAGCACACTACAGGCATTTAATAAATGATTGTTGACTAATTAAATGATATCACTTGACATGTCATGGACATCATCAATCACCCATAGTATTTGTGTGTGACAAGTAAGGAACAGACAAGATCCCGGGAGATGTCAAGGTTGGCAATAAGGAGATTCCACACTCTGGGCAGAGGATCAGGGTACTATGACTTGGCAAGAGGAGCCCCTGGAGAGCAGATGGCACAACAGAATAGCTCATCAGTCAATAGAGGGTAAGCAAAATAGTCTTCTTCCTCCTCCACAAGTACGTGGAATCTGGGAAAGGAACAGGTCCCAACTCCTCCTGGCTTGGGGAGTAGGGGGAGGGCAGGGGAAGGGGCCCAGGAGCCTTCAATGCTTGAAAACAAGCTGGGATCTGTAGGCCCTAACGACTGCTTGCATAAAGAAAAGGACAGCTGCATTCTTGCCTAAATCATGCCAAATGAGAGCACCTGACAAGTCCCCTGGCCATAATTAACATTGGTGCTGCTTGGGTCTATTCAGATGTCCTCGGGAAGAGCCCTGAGTGCCTAGAATACTGGACAGAAAGCCTTAAAGAGCAGGTCTGAGTGGATTCAGGAAGGGGAGAAGCCACATCTTCCAAAGTGATAGGGCTAGGAAGGCAAACACAATGGCCATCAGCTCAGTAAACCAGGTCAAGTTCACGTAGCTAGATATAGGATACCAGTAAGAGCAAATCAGCTACTAGACCTAATCTAGGAGAGTGTGAAGTACCTGTCAATCTTGTGCTTTTTAAAGACTAAAGAGAAAAACAAAGCCTTGAAATAGACTATCAAATAGAAACTAGCTGTTAGACCTGGAATTATAACATACCACTACTCCGTACTCAGAAGAGACAGGAGTGAGCAAAGTGTAAGCAAGTCACTCGGTTGTAGCAGCCCCAGCACAGCCACTGGCCCGTCAGTTCCCAAGTGGAGTGGTCATCAGGCAGCTTTAAACGTCCCCCTGCCAGTTTAAATGAAAGAACTGGCAAACAATGCAGCAGACCAGTGAATAATGTCAGCAAAAGGTACATCTTAATTGCCTTGGATTGTAAGGGCCAAGCCTTGTCTCAAGGTCAAAGGCTAGAGATGCCCACCAAAGGTCCTCATTACAACCTCATTAAAATAACCCAACACAAACATGCAGAGATATTCCTCATGAAGATGAAGGGGCCAATTTGACTTCAGAGGATTGATGGTGAAACACATCTCCTGCCTCCTGGCATAAAGGTGATGGTTTATCAATGCAAAATAGCATAACACACATTTCAGTCATGGCCAGCATGTAGATCTGCTTTGCTTGACTGGACTTTATTACAAGGTGGGGGGGAAGGCGGGGCAAATATAAAGGGACAGGGGAACAAGGATCATTGGAAAATGACAGTGATGTGAAAAAAATGTGCATTAAGAAATTATTTTAAAAGAAAAAAGAGAGGGCCATTCCATCTTTCATGGTTTATATGCATCCCAGGGCTAAGAGGTCCTCAGAGAAAATCTCCTCCTATCTTACCTCCACAAGCTCATGAAGTGGGAAGGGCCCTCAGACAAGACCAAAGACAAGTAGCCATCCAGTCTCTGCTAGCAGAACTTCAGTGATCTCTTCATGTTAAAGTTCACTTGTGAACCAGGCTACCTGTTGAAAGTTTTTCCTTACAACAACCTTAAAGTCACCTCCGCTTTGGGAGGATCCTCAGAAACTGATTCCAAATCTTTGAGAATTTTGTTCCCTTTATATTTGCCAAGTACATCCAAATCAGCCTCCAAGATGAAACCCAGGGACAGTTAGATAGAGAAGTAGATAAAGCATTGGCCCTTAAGTCAGGAGGACCTGAGTTCAAATCAGACCTCAGACCAAATACTCAACACTTACTAGCTGTGTGATCCTGGGCAAGTCACTTAACCCCAATTGCCCAAAAAAAAAAAAAAAAGATGAAACCCAAACAATTCTGTAAAACAAAAGATCTAAAAACTGAAGCTTGACAGAACAGTAGTTTTGCTAAGAAAGCTAGTCAAACTTCCAGAATCTTCCAAAATAAGCCAAGAAATACATGACCTAAATAAAGGGTGTTTAATATCATCTAAATCAAGGTTTTTCCAGAAGACAAGACCAGAATAAACAATTACAAATTACCTTCAGGGAAATTAAATGACAAGCTACTAAAATGGTAAGATCTCTCCTCTCTGGGGCATCTTTTAAGGATGGGGCCATTCTTTTTTTTTTTTTAAATTGATGAGGCATTTGGGGTTAAGTGACTTGCCCAGGGTCACACAGCTAGTAAGTGTTATGTGTCTGAGACCAGCCTCTTGAATTCAGGGCCAGTGCTCTACCACTGCACCACCTAGCTGCCCCAGAATGGGATCATTCTTCTTGCATAGCTTAGGTATGGCACTATAAAAAAGGGGATGACCTCTGATTTTTTTTAAGCTTTTGGTCTGATGCAGTATACCTCATAAGGCAGGCAGACTAGTGTCCAGTGGTCACACCATTGTGCCTGAGGGCCTTCCCATAGTACGAAGAAAGAATCTGCAGCTTTAGGCTCCCTAATTTCTGCCTAGATCTCAGAAAATAGGGAAACGGAATTCATCTTGCAGACAGGTTGAGAACTATGGAAAAGACAGATAATGGTGCTGAGCCACAAAAGATAAGAGAGGAGGTCTGGGCTTTTTTCAAACCCACTGTGACTTCAATAGGATAGGGAATTTCAGGAGTGGAAACTCCCTCCAAGTAGATGGCAAATTATCTGGAACTTGCAGTCCAGAAGGAGGGTACAGGGTGGGAGGAAGAGGGAGAGAAAGTCTATCTATGGGGGTATATTGTCCTGTATCAATAAGGAGTTAAATGGCTCGCTCGGGGTCCCAGTACTAATATAAGTCAGAGGCTGGACTTGAATCCAGTTCGTCCTGACTCCAAAACAGGTGTACTATCTACTGTACTCCACTATCTCTCTTCTAAAAAAGATGGATATCTGCAAATTCCAGGGCTCATCAGACTAGAAATCTGGTCCTAAAACCAGAATTGGAGAACAATGTTCTTAGGCTAAGAGATAGCAGGGATAAGCCTGAGGCCAACTGACATTTTGGAACAATCCTTGTTTTGTGAGATACAGCAATATGAAGGGACAGGAAGAGAAACATGAAGCACAGCTAGGGAATCATCCTTAGGGTCTCAACCCTACTCAGCTACTACATTCACTTTCACTCTCTCTCCCCCCCCCCAAAGGGAAAAAGTTGGAGGAGGCCTCTAGCAACCCTTGGCCCACACCCAGTTCAGCTGCTCTTCATTCCCTGAAGGTTCCTGGAAGTCATCGGCCATAAAGACAGAAATTTTAGAGTTGAGATTACAGAAAATTTCCCACTAATTGGAAAGTACACTCACTGCCTCTGTTCCCCTTTCCCTACCCCCACCCCCCACTTTCCATATCCACATTCCCACCCCATCTTCCTTATGTTTGACTCTTCAAGCACTCAAGCTAGGACCTTAAAACTCCTCAAGGAAAAGGGGAAAACAATGTGTGAACCTAATGTTCCTTCACCAGGGCAAGGGGACAAGGATCCAGGAAGGATGACAGAGATTTATATTGAATAAAAAATTGGGGGTAGGGAAGGAGAAGAGATAAGTAGACAGGACCATAAAAACTGAGGCAAAGCAACAAGGACCTAGGAGAGTAAGTAGAGACAAGGACTGGCGGAGACAACTGGGAAGTAGATTAGGTCATCAGAGTGTGAAAAGAAGTTGACAGGTTAGGGAGAACCGCTGGGGAACAGGTGATTTAAGCCAGGAAAGTGGGGTGACAGAGAAAGCAACAGACACTAGGGGTGGGGGCCTGCACTGAAAAAGAACACTGAGGGTACAGAAACAAAGGGAATACAAGGATGGAGAATGGAACATGGAAAGTCTGGAAAAGACATTGGAGAGGACAGAAGACAACACAGGGAAACTGGAAGAGGGATGAGGCCCCTGGGATAATGGAGGGACCAGAAAGGGAGAGTCATGACGCAAGGTGATAGGAGGGCAGAATTGGGAGAACAGGGAAAAGGATAAGAAGATGAACAGGGGGTGAGGGGAATGAGTCCAGAGGGAACAGTGACACACTGATGGACTGAAAAGAGAACACAAGCAGACTGGGAGGGTGACAAGAAGACAGAGCTGGCATGCACCTGTGGGGACTGGAAGTATGGTGAGGATGGGAGCAGTGAGAAGACAGGACTCAGTCTCCCCAGAACCATCAGCTCCAGACGACTCAGTGGTAAGACTTGTAGGCCATGTGGACGGCATTAAGACAAATTGCACAATAGGGTGGGGGGAAGTGGGGAGAAGAGGGACAAGGAAATGGAGTAACAGATACAAAGACAGAAAACAGAAATGGCTCTGATAGAAGGTTGGAAGAAAAGAAGACTTGAGGGAAGAGCAGCACGGAAACATCGGCAGAGGAGAACAAGGTAGAGATCTCAAAGTATCAGGGGCAGGGAGAAGAAGAAACAAGAAAAGAGATGGGGGAGTAAGATGGGAAGAGATAAGGACTGAGGAAGAGAGATGGCAAAGGAGGGGGATTTGGGACAGAAGGATGGGGGGAGAAGACATGGGGGAGATAAGGAAGGAGAAGAGATGGCGAGGAAAGGGAAGAGATGGGGAGGGAAAACGGGGAGAGAGAAGATAGGGAGGGGAGAAGCGAAGAGGAAGAGGAGATGGAGAAGGAAGGGAAGAGATGGTGGGGAGAAGAAATGGAAAAGGAGATGAGGGAGAGAAAAGAGGTAGAGAGGGAGAAGAGACAGGCAAGAGGGAGAGTGAAGGGAGGGAGAAGGAATGGGAGAGATGGGGAGGGATGTGAAGGGAGAAGAGATAGAGAAGAAGAGATAGGTGAGATGGGCAGGGAGAAGGGATGGGAGAAAGAGAGAGGAAGTAGAAATGGGGAGGGAGAGGAGACAGGAAGGAAGAAGAGATCTGGAGGGAGAAGAAATGGAGAGAAGAGAGAGAGATGGAGAAGAAGAAGGGATGGCAGGAATAGGGTAGGGGGAGAGATGGGAAGGGAGAATAGATAGGGAGGGAGAAGAGATTGGAGAGGGAGAAGGGACTGCAGAGATGGGGAGGGAAGAGAGAGAGGGATGTAGGAAGGGAGAAGAGACAGAGAAGGGAGAAAGGATGGGAGAGATGGAAAGAGAGGAGAAATGGCAGAGATGAGGAGGGAGGGAGAAGAAACCGGGAGGGACAAAAGGTAGGAGAGATGAGAGGGAGAAGAGATGAGAGATGGGTAGAGAGAAGAAATGGGCAAGATGGTGAGAAAAAGACATTGAGGGACGAGAGACAGGAGAGAGGAAAGGAAAAGAGACAGGGAGGGAGAAAAAAGCAAGGTGAGGAGAAAAGAGAGATGGGGAGGGAGAAGTGACGGAGAGGGACAAAAAGTGGAAGAGATGGAGAGAGAGAAAAGACAGGAGAGGCAGGGAAAGAGGAAAGATGAGATATGGGGAGGGAGAAGAAACAGGAGAGATGGAGAGGGAGAAGAGATGGGGAGAAAGGAGAGATGAGATATACAGGGAGAGACAAGAGATGAGGAGGGAGGAGAAATGAGAGATGGGGAGGGAAGAGAGATGAGAGATGGGGAGGGAAGAGAGATGAGAGATGGGGAGGGAGGAGAGATGAGAGATGGGGAGGGAAGAGAGATGAGAGATGGGGAGGGAGGAGAGATGAGAGATGGAGAAGGAGGAGAGATGGGGAGGAGAGATGAGAGATGGGGTGGGAGGAGAGATGAGAGATAGGGAGAAACAAGAGATGGGGAGGAAGGAGATACGAGAGATAGGGAGAGACAAGAGATGGACAGGGAGGAGAGATGAGAAATAGGGAGAGACAAGAGATGGGGAGGGAGGAAAGATGAGAGATAGGGAGAGACAAGAGATGGGGAGGGAGGAGAAACGAGAGATAGGGATAGACAAGAGATCGGGAGGGAGCAGAGATGAGAGACGGGAGGGACCGGGACGGCAGAGACGAGGAGGAGGAGGAGGAGACGTCACGCCAGGGGACAAGGCAGAGAACTGGAGGGAATGAGGGAGCGGAGAGACCGGGCCTGGCCGGAGGCCTGCGCTCCTCGGCCTGGGGCTGCCCCCAATCCCGCTCAGCCCCCTCGCCTTCCCGCGGGGCGTCCGCTCCCTCTCAGCCGAGCACGAGCTTCGGGACCTGAGTATCCCCGGCCTACCTGCCCGGGCTGTCGCCCGCTCGGGCTCTGGCTCCAGAACCAGCGAAGCCTCCGCCTCCGTCGCCGCCTCCCGGACTCCTCGGGGTCCTCGGTCCGGCCAAAACTTTTCCCATTAACCCCGGCACAGCGGCGGAGGCGTCACACGCTGCGCCGCCCCGGACGGCCCCGCCCTCCCTCGATGACGTCACCGCGCCGACTCCTCCCACCGGACTCTCCCTATCCCTCCCTTCAGTGGCATAATCGGGTAACCTTGCCCAACCCCGTCTCTCACTCCCACTTCGCCCACCCCCGCTATAGACATTGGCCGGTTGTTGATCCTCAAGTGTGGCCTCCCGCTGCGAGCCGCGCCTGCTGCTCTGGGCTTAGCTGCAGCGCCTCCTGGTGCCCAGTGGCAGGCATTAAAAACGAGACAGGAGCCAGATTAGGAGGAACCTATCCAACTGTTGGGGGCCCAGGGTGGGATTGGACCTTTCGTATCACGGGGCCTCAGCTTTGGTCTCACGCAAGTCTGGATTCGTTGTGGGGGAGAAAGGGGAAGTGTAGCCTGACGCCCCCACCCTCCTCCAAGTGGATGCAATCAATGCCAGTCAACAAGCATTTATTAACCACTTACTATGTGCCAGACATAGTAAGCCAGACACTGTGCTAAGCCCTTTACAAATATTATTGCATTTGATTGAAAGGAGAGTGCTTCACTGAATAGGGGGAATATAGCTGAAGATGACTTAGGCTCATAGAATTTAAATGAAGTCGCTCGAGGTCAAACAACTAGTTAGTAGTACAGCCCCTGAGCTCAGATCTTCTGACATGGCCACTCCATTATCTTTGCCCAAAAAAACTCAAATGGAGTTATGAAGAGTCAGACACGACCGAACAACAACCACCTCCCCCTCCCCTTCCCGACACACACACACACACACACACACACACAGAGTACAACCACCTTTCCCATCTTACATCTTTCTTTCCACCAATACAGTGACACTGACCTCCTGGCTGTTCCACAAACATGTCTCTCCATCTCTTCACTCCAGGCATTTTCTTTGGTTGTCCTCCATGCCTAGAACGATCTCCACCTTCATCTCTGTCTCCTGGCTTCTCTGGCTTCCTCTAGGTCCCAACTAAAATCCAGTCTTACACAGGAAGCCTTTCTCAACCTCTATGAATTCTAGTGCCTTCCCTCTTCTATTATTTCCTGGTTTTCTTGCATATATCTTGTTCATGCACATTTGTTTGGCTGCTGTCTCCCCCATTAGACTGTGAGCTCCCGGAGGGCAGGAACTGGTTTTTTGCCTCTTTTTGTATCCCTTGCACTTAGCACAGCCTGAAACATAGTAGGCAATTAATAAATGCTTATTGACTTATTGTCTGGGGGAAGATGGGCACACTAAGTGGCTATTGGTGACTCTGCAAATTAATCAAACCATTCTGTAAATCAAATTGAAATGGGAGGCAGCGGAAGTGAGTAATGAGTAGTGATGGAGGTTAAAAAAACATATCAGTAAAACATTGAAAAATATGCAGAAAAAACAAAAGGCAGTTGAAAAGACAAATAAGGTAATTTTATTACCACCTTGTTAAACTTAATATACACTTTAAAATTATAAGCAACAGAAGTTTACAGTTTCAGATACAATGTTCTTTTTACTCTTTCTATATTAAAACATTTGCATTTGTTGATGATTAAGTTTGTAATAAAAAAAGAAAATTTTTAAAAGAAAAAAAACAAATTGAAAGTGTGCTAGAAAAGTGACTAAATTATTCCTACCTTTTGGCCCACTAATAAGTATATACTCCCAAAAATATGATAGGCAACCAAAAAGGACCCACACATACCAAAATATCTATAGCTGTATTTTTTTGTGGTAACAAAAAAGAAGGAAAACAAAGTGATATCTATTGATTTGGGAGCAATTTAACAAATCATAGCATATAAATGTGTTTTTCAATTTTATTTTTCTTTATTTTCAACTTACCAAATACTAAATAAAATAATTATTTCCATGTACAAAGTAGAACAGAAAAAGAAAATTGTACATGAAACAATCTCTATTATGTACAGCTTGCTTTTCCTTTTAAGTATATCATAACTTCAACATGTAACCTTCAAAGCTGTCTTGCTTGTCTGACTTTCCTTCTGTCTTCTGTACATTTAAAAATGCTTTAATTATCTCTTTCTTTTCTTTTTCTTTCTTTTTTTTGACATTCCTATTGCTAGACTTCCTCTCAACTATTCTCCCAAAATTTAAAGAGAAAAAAACAAACAAACCAAACATGTTGTAACAGTCAAGGAAAAAAAAAATTTTCTCAGTGACTATGCCTAAAAATCTATTTCTTATTCTGAATCTTAAATGTCCTCTCTATCAGGAGGTAGATAACATGCTTTATTATTTTATTTATTTATGGTGAGGCTATAGGGGTTAAGTGACTTGCCCAAGGTCACACAGCTAGTAAGTGTCAAGTGTCTGAGGCAGGATTTGAACTCAGGTCCTCCTGACTCCAAGGTTGGAGCTTTATCCATTGTGCCAGCTACCTGCCCCTCAACATGTTTCATTATTGCTTGTCTGTAGTTGGTCATTTCATTTTTATCAGAGTTCTTACATTTTTCAAAGTTGGGGTGCTGGTTCTCAGTGTTGTTATTGTATATATCATTCTCCTGATTCTGCTCACTTCACAACATTGATCAAATTTTCTATTTTTTAACCAGTACCAGATAATATAGATAATTACTATTTTGTATAATAGCTTGAGATCTGCTACTGTGAGGCTCCCTTCTTTTCCACCATTATTTGTTATTTGCTTTGAGATTCTTGGCCTTTTGTTTTTCCAAATGAAAATTATTTTTTCTATTATTTTTTCTAGTTCTACAAAGTAATCCTTTGCTTGTTCGATTAGTATGGCAGTAGACAAGTAAGTTAATTTGGGTGCTATTGTCATTTTATTATATTGGCATAGTCTAACAATGAGTAATTAATATTTCTCCAATTATTTAAGTCTGTCTTTCTTCTTGTGTAATGGAAGGACTGGCCAGGTTACATCTTAAATGTAGATGTTTTGCAATCATATTCATATATGAATGAATGAATGAATAAATGAATGAATGAACTTACAAACTGCATTTATTAAGCTCTTACTGTGCTAAGGGTTGGGAATACAAATAGAAAAGTAAGATAGTCCCTGCTCTTAAGGAACTCACATTTTTTTTTTTTTTTTACTGAGGCAATTGGGGTTAAGTGACTTGCCTGAGGTCACACAGCCAGTAAGTGTCAAGTGTTTGGTCTGAGGCTGGATTTGAACTCAGGTCCTCCTGATTTCAGGGCTGGTGCTCTATCCACTGTGCCACCTAGCTGCCCCAGGAACTCATATTCTAATGGGGGAAAAACGCATGTGGAAGTTTTCAGCTGCAAAGTAAATGGAAAGGGCTTTAAGTTGCAGTAGCAAACCAGATGGTAATTCCTCTTCATTAATATCTTTTCCACTGATACATTTCCTGTGTTGTCTTGGTAGTTAGACTCCTAAATACCATTTTTACCTTCTAGAAGTTATTTTGATTGGATTTTCTCTTTCTGTCTTTTCCAATCTATTGCCAAATTTTGTGATTTCTCCCTTCACAACATTTCTACTATATATCTCCCATCTCTTCACCCATACAGTCACCACCCTAGTTCAGGCCCTCCTCATTCCCACTTGGACTATTGCAATAACCTTCTAATTGGTCTCCCTCTCTCATGTCTCTTTCCACTCCAACATGTCTTCTACTCATCAGTCAAAGTGATTTACCTAAAGTGTAGCTAAAACCGCCCTCCCCCATTCAATGAACTATAGTGGCTACCTATTACCTACAGCATCAAATATAAAATTTTTGTTTTGCACTTTAAGTTGTTTACAACTTTACCCCTTCTTGCCTTTCCAGCCTTCTTATTTAACTTCTCCTTTAAATTTTTAGATGCTATGTGATTTGGTGCACACATCTTTAGTATTGCTATTAATCCATTTTCTATGATACCTTTCAGCAAAATGTAGTTTCCCTGTTTATTTCTTTTAAATAAGTCTATTCTTGCTATTGGTTTATCTGAGATCGTGATTGCTCTCCCTGCCTTTTTTTTTACTTCAGTTGAGGCATAATAGATTTTTCTTCCATGCTTTATTTTATGTCTGTGTGAGTCTTTATGTTTCAAACATGTTTATTGTAAAAAAATAAAAATATTATTAGATTCCATTTGCTCATTCATTCTGCTATCCTCTTCTATTTTATGGGTGAGTTTATCCCACTGACATTTAGTAATTTTTGATATGGTTTACTCCATCTTCTTCTCATACTTTTTATTTTATCTGTTTCCTGCCTCTTTTAAAAAATATTTTGTTTTTCCCCAATTATGTGTAAAAATTATTTTTAACATTCATTGGAGTTTTTTTTTACATTTTGAATTCAAATTCTATTCCTCCTTCCCTCTCTTTCACCCTTCCTGAGACTGAAAGCAATCTGATATGGGTTATATACATGCAATCATGTAAAACATTTCCATATTAGTCATTTTATGCAAGAAAAAGCAAACAAAAATGAAAGAAAGTAAAAAATAGTAGGCTTCAGTCTGTATTCAGAAAACATTAGTTCTTTCTCTGGAGGCAGATAGCATTTTTCATCATAAGTCCTTTGGGATTGTCTTGGATCATTTGTATTGCTGAGAAGAGTTAAGTTTTCACAGTTATTCATCGTACCAATGTTTCCTCATTCTGCTCACTTCACTTTGTATCAGTTCATGTGAGTCTTTCCAGGTTTTTCTGAAGTCTGCCTGCTCATCATTTCTTATAGCACAATAATATTCCATTACATTCATACACCACAACTTGCTCAGCCCTTCCCCAATTGATGTCCTGTCCCTTCTTTTTAAAGAAGAAAGAGTATGCTTAGGATTAGTGCTCTTTGTTCTATGCAGTCTGCTTCTGCTCCCTGCCCCTTTTCTCTTTCCTTCATCCTACAACCAATCACAGGTTCTTATGCTTTCTTTCTTTTCTTCTAAACTGCTCCTTGAGAACCATCCTCCTTAGTTAGAGCTCATTTTGCTTAGGACTAATCCCTCCCTTGATCCATT